CCGCCGAGAAGGCTGGCCGGGTGGCTCGCACGGCGGCGAGCCGGCAGGTGGAGGCGAGGGCGCCATGCTGCTCGACCCGAGGCCGGCCGCGTGCCAGCACTCTCGGGGACCCGCCTGGCCCCCGGGGGCGGGGGCTCCGGCCTCCGCGCCTAGCATATGGCCGATCTGCAAGGACAGCAGTCAGGCCGGCGGCTGGCTCGTGCTGCGGCACGGCCTCTCCCGCGGATATGGGGGTCTGCGCGTGTGGGCCTTTCGATATGTCCGTCTGCCGGCAGGGCCGGGGAGGAGCACGTCTCGCAGCAGCAGCAGCCGCAATGGCCGGGCCGCTCGCCCCGGGTGGGAGGCCCGGCAGGCAGCGCATGCCCGGCCCAGGCCCGCCGGATCGATCCTGGATCTGGCCCTGGGTGCCCCGGCGGGAAGGCCCGGGGGAAGGGGGGCATAGTCTCAGCCCGGGGACACACCCGAGCAGGGCGGCTGTATGGCCGGGGGCCAGCCGCGTTGCCGATCCACCGCACACACTCGCACACACACTCGCACACACACTCGCACACACACACACACACACACACACACACACACACACACACACACACACACACACACACACACACACACACACACACACCGTCTCTTCAGGACCACGGCGCGGCAGGGGGCCGGGCCAGACGCCCGGTCTTCCACCTGCGGGTTTCAAGCGGGGAAGGCCACGCGTACGCGCGCGAGTCGTCCGTGGGACCCGGCCTTGGGAAAGGACCCCTTCCCAAGAGCTCCAGGGGGAGGCAGGGGCGGGGGACGCCGTGGGTCAGATCATGCTCCCCTGAACAACGCGCGCGCACGCGGGTTGCACACAACAGGGCGGCGCGGGGCGGGCGGGGGGTCGCCGGGCCTTTTGGGGGTGCCCGAAACGCCTGGCGTTGCGGCCGCGGGCCATCCGCGGCAGGTCATTTGTGCGGGGGGACTCGGGCGGAACGCGAGCCTCCCGGGGATTTTCCCCCCCCCCCCCAGCACGGTCCTGCCCCGAGGACAGGGCGGCACGACGCGAGGGGGGGGGGGGGCCGGCCAGCATCGTGGCCGACTGTCCCCCGCGGGGGAGGTACCAACGTATGCCGCCCCCTGTGCTCGCCGAATGGTTGGCAGACATGGCGCGCCCTCCGAGTTCCGGACGCATTGGGCGCGTGCCGGGGGCCCCGCGCAGCGATGGACACCCCCCGCATCATCAAGCCCAACGGGCCGAGGGATCCCGCTTTGCCGGCCGGGCCGCGCGGCGGCCAGGCCGGGGGATCTTGGGACCGAGCGTTCCTGGGGGCCTACATCCGGAGGTCGTCTTTGTCCGCAGGCCCGCGCCCCTGACATCGCGGGCCCCTTTCCACCGTGGCCCCTGCAGGTCCGGGGCGTCCGCCTCTCCCATGCCCCGCGGTGGAGGGCGCCGGCGCCCTGTGGCCCGGTGCCTCCGGCGCGCGTCGTTTGCCGGCACGCCCGATGCACACGCAGCGAGGCGCCAGCCGCTGGGCGCCGGTGCCGCGGATCGCACGAACATGCACGCCCGGGCCCGGGCCCAGCAGCGGGCGCCGCCGGGGCAAGCATGCGCACGGGCTCCTCCGTCCCTCGCCGCCGGCCGCCTTTCTTGTCTGGAGCCGCATGCCAACCAGTGCGCGGCCGACGCGCACTGGTTGGCATGCGGCCGGCCCGCTGTTGCGGTCGATCCCCCGGCGGCCCTCGGCGGAGCCGGCAGACTCGGGTGCAGAGCAGCGGGCCCGAGAGGGCGGCCGGGCCTTTTGGCCGGGCCCCGGCAGGAGGGGAGGCCGGGGCGGCGGATGTCGCGGCCAACATGGGCCCCGCGGAGCCAGGGGCCCGTCCGGGCGGAGATGCTGCCGGCCGCCGGTGAGCTGGTGGGCGCCCAGCTGGCTCGGCCGCCGGCCGCGGGGCCGCGCACGCCCCCGGGCCGCTGTGCATCCCGGGCCGGCGGTCGGAGGTCGCGCCCCGGGTCCAGGGGCCGGGCATGGCTCCGCCCGGTGGTCGCCCGCGGCCTCAGGCATGGACCCTGTCGTGGCGACATGCCGCGCCGGCCAGCTCGCTTGGGCGGTCTCCCTATGGCCGGGGGTGGGGAGGGGGGGGGGGGGGGGCTTTTGTCCGCCAGTGGGTCCCGGGAGCCCGGCCGGCCGGCTGCGCCACCGCGTCCGCGCTCACCTGGCGGCCCTACTCCTTGGTGTCGGCAGGCGCACCGGTCCGCCTCCCCGGCCACGGCGCCCGGGGCAACGGAGCCCCAGGTGGTGCTGCCGGAGGAGCAGGAAGAGCAGGAGGGGAAATGGCGGGGAGCCACGCCAGTGCGCGGGAGCGGGGCACAAGCGCGGGGCGAAGAACGGGCGGGCGGCCCGCACGAGGAGCACACGGCACACCCGCGGCAGACACGTCCCCTGGGGAGTGCGGCGCACCGGACAGGCCCCGGGCCGCCAGCCGCCAGGTATCGCCGCGCCCCGGCAGGCCGCTTTTTCGGGTGCCTGCCGGGACGAAGCACGGCGGCCGATCCGCCGGCAATCGCAGGGAACAGGAAGGGAGCGTAAAAATGGGACAATAAAAAAGGCGAACGTATGTCGGGAAAATGCCCGGCCGCCGCGTTGAATGTGTCCCGGGCACCCGGCTGCGGCACGTGTTGTTTCGATAGCGATGTCGATTGCACGGCATG